GTGAATATTTTCATATTGTAAAAATGAGTTCCTATTTTTATTGTGATATAATAATAATACTGTGTTGTGCTGGGAACATCATCTGGGATTTACTTTGTGCAAGCTCGTAGAGAAGGGCCTACTTGAGTTAGAAACCACTAGAAAAGATGTTTCAACTACAGATACAGTTCGTGGAAGCTGCAGCTAGATAGTCTGGATATGTGGGTATGGGTAACTATGGGTGGAGACTTGAGGGTGAGTAGGTGAGAGTGAGGGTGTGCATAAGGGTGATTCCATGGGATCTGTACCACGCTTACGGTCATAGTCTCGGATGTCGATGAAAGCATATGGGTTTTGTAGAGCGCAAAATTTCAAGCTACATTTGTGTCTGCGAGATTTCTTTTTGAGTTTGTTATCACTCAAATAATCATCAAATACTAAACACAGGAAAAAACCATGAAAAATCGACAAAAAAGTATTTGCTAGGTAGTTTTTTATACCTTAACCTACTGCTCAATCCCGATGGCTTATTCGTGATCAGCGTGTCAAATGACTGAACAATTGAAACTGTCTTACAGCAATCCGAGAATGTCGAGAATGTACAGAGTCGCACACAGGCATAACTACTTTAGTAGTACCAGTAAGACGAATTTTGATGTTTTTCAGATCAAGAATGGTCCCAAATCCCTTTTTTTATCTAGAATAACTTTCTTCAAACTAGCATTATGTACTGGTATGTTTATCTTGACAAATAATAGCAGATCAGTGGTATCTGTAGCGCCTATAACTTAGAAACTCCTCAACCAAATCGATTCATTTTCAAATTAATAAAATGTCTTTGTCGTCCAAAGATATAGACTAAATTTGGTTGCTTGGTAGAATGAGAGAGATTCGAGAGGGAATTGTTGAATGCACAGAATGATAAAATGAAACTTGAGAGTTGAGTGTTTAAAGTTATTCAAAGAAGAAAACAAGGATCTGAACTGTGAAACTAAACTAATAACTGAATAATACACTTACGCTGCTCAATACAGAAATTTTGTTATCTTTGCTGTCATTTAACTTTTCGATTTTGCAGAGACAGTTATCGATATCATCGTCATTCATTTTTGACTGTAATTGCACTTTTAAAATCGAATAGTATGGCTCCGTTCGATATAGCAATGGTAAATATTTCTCTTCTTCAACGAGTTGTTTGATTATATCATCATATGGATCATAATAAAAATCAGCTGTATGATATTCACCATTGTCGTATATGAATGATAATCTAAACCATTGTTCAGCAAAAGTGGGTAACTGTACCTGAAGACTCGACCAATTATTCATTATCCATTTGCTGACTGTTAACACATGATGCGATAGATTACTTTCTATACAGTATTTCAGAACTTCCAAAGTAAGTTTTGCTTGTGAATAAACTGGAATTGATAAGACTTTCATTAATATATTTGTATCATCATCGCTGCACATAATCAGAGGTCGTTGAATCGGAATATTATCGGGAAATAATGGCATGCAGTACTGGCTCTCAGCTATTGAAATGAACTGTGCAATTTTAGCAGAGTTTCGAAATATTGATAATCCACCTACCAGTTCTCTGAGTGAATCGTTTTGTTGTATTATGTGAGCAGCCTGCGCTATGCATGATTTTAAACTGAGGTTTTGTACATCGGTGAAGTCTTTTTGAACAATAGATTGAAGAATATTTTTATCTGATTTATTGATAGCTTCTAACCAAGAACAAAATGAATCAATGGATAAGTCTGAAATGTACTTAGTACGCTGAGGATGATTTACCAGATGATAAAATTCGTCCACGTCATATCGCAGAAGCATACATTTGAGACCATATGTCTTAAAGACTTCTAGCACATTTTTGTTTAAACCTGTACAATTGTTTTTAAGCGTTATAAGGAAAAAATGTTGATTAATACTTAATGGATAAAAAGTAAGAAGCTGGGCAGCTTGCGACTTCGTTATATCATTAACTATCTCACTTGAAGAGCATTTTTCCATCTCTATTTCTATGTATGGTATAATATGTTGAGTTTCAAATAGGCCTAAACGATTCGAAAATTTCTCAAATAAATATTTCCATAGCATCGTAGCCCAATCTCTACTTTGTCCTGACGTGCAGCATTGTTGGAGAAGTTGTAGAAAGTTGTTGTGACTGTATGATTTCAACTGCGTTTGACCTAAATGAAATTATATGTATAGAAAAGTGTCTTTTGAATGCAGTACCTTTGAAGTACGTGACGAGCAACATAATCATCAAGCAATGTCACCCTGCTACTACCACAAGTATCTTTCCATCTCTTCTAGTTTGGAGTTTCTAGAAACCACACGGTGAAAAACAACTCTCATCTATCAAACAGAAGGACTTGACCTGTGAAACTCATATTTCACCACCAGCACTACCTATTTAATACAAGATATATCTTTTTATTCTCAGAAGTTCCTTATGTTTCGATTAAAGTCGAAAATACGGATTAGTACGCAAAGTCTAACCTAGGTGAAGTAAACCTAGGTGTAATGTCGATGCTCATGCTCTACGTCGAGAACCAGTACTCTCCTACTTGTTTCTTACAAATCTATTTAAAAAATTTCTATTTCAATCAATATCGCTAAACAATTAAACAATACTTAATACATGAAGAAAAACTATAATACCTGCTCGTGCGATATTCCCAATTATTGAATTCACTTTTTCCGATAGTGAAAGCTTTGAAAATTGTTTCTCTAGTCCTACTAAAATTTTTGCAACAATATCTTCGCCCTTTTCCAAATAGTAAATAGGTGTATGCTGTTTTGATTGACAATCAAACGTTGTCCAACTGCCATCCGACAATGGCAGTAATGCTACATTATGTAATCTTTCTACTGGTGCTTGTAAACAATATTCTAACAGTTGTAAACATTCGATAGAAGGAATATGATCCAAAGGATGCCCTGCTATATGCTCACATACGAGAGCTGGTGTTATCAGGTGTATCATATTCACAGAATTTAGTTTAAAGAAATTTAATATATTATTTGGCATAGTTGCTATTTTCGAACTTTTAAAACATCGAAGAATGACTGTCTGAAATTGTTTGTCTTCAGTATCTTCCAAATTGTTCACAATTACTTCTGATACTAATCGTTTCTGGCCGTCCACATGTTACAACTGGCTTATTAGCAATTTCGTGATATGTCGGTTTAAGTAGCTCATACCATTTACTGCATGACAAGTCAATAGTTGGTAGACATTTGTAGACCATCATTGAATCATTAAAATGATCGGTACAGTATTCAATTAGTTTAATATATGATCGTGAAATTACTTGTTTGATCAACAATTCATTCCATTTACCATCATAATCTCTGTACGTTTCTGTTGTAAGCCATTTTAAATCACGACGATTATCTGTTAGTCCGAAATATCCATTAATATGTATAGAAAGGCCATGCATGACATCAGCTGGCATTGGTAGATAACAAAATAACCGACCGGATGATGTTGTATTTAGTTCACTATCTTGTTCAATGGCACAACCACCCAATGGCAAACTTTTCAATAAGGGGACCATTTCACGTAGAGCTTTGTCACACGAACGAAAAAGAAGAGCTTCGGACATAAGAAACTTGTGACGCTTTGTTGTTTTCATTGTATAATTCTAAAAACGACAGAAATCGGTGTTCGTGATGTATATGAAATAGAGATTTCCTGAGACATCAAAAGCAAAAACCTGCAAGAATTCACAACCAATTTATTGCAAAAAATCATAGTAACATTTCCACGGCTCAAGTAACATCATACACATTAACTTACTACTGCGTTTTTTTGCAGAAATAAAAGTGTAAAACGCGAGGAAATGTCATTGTTTTTGACATATAAAATGTTATAGTGTGTAATTAATACCAAATTTTATGTGATATTTTCAGACAACTACGAGACACGTTCATCAAATCTGCCTACAGACAAGTCTCACAGCTCGCCCTCCGATCTGTAGGTACTAGGTTCGTCTCTTCAGAGATAAGAGGAGTCACACAGGAAAATCTCTAAGCAAATTTTCAGTGAAAAAGGATCATATATAAATAAATGTAAGGTTGCATATACGATACATATAAAAATACAGCACAAGAAAAAGCATATAAGAACATAGCGTTTCTGGCATTGCGTTAGTGTAGCCAAAAATGCACACTCCTACAGAAATATCAAAATAAAGCGGCACGCGTAAAATACATTATTGATGGAAACGTTCGCACGCCCTTCCGCTGAAAAAACTCTATGTGTTAATTATTTTATACTAATGCAGAACGCTTCCATATGTCAAATCGTATTTTTTGTGAAAACCGCATACATGGTTTAAGACAGCCGCCGGTATTAATGTTCAACGTATTTTTACGATCTAGGCAGGCCAAAAATTAACTTCGAAAACAAAATTTTGAATATGGAAAACTGATTTTTCAAAAAAACTAGATCCCCAAAGATCTATAAGCAACGCCGACTACCGTATTCGGAACTAGGCCTGTAAACGTTCACCATTCCTTTTCAACGTTTCCTTTGAACGTGAACACTAAATTACCTTGACGTTCCTTGAATGTGAACGCTAAAGTTGGCGTTCCCTGAACGCTAGCGCTTCTGTTAAAGCGAATTTTATTTATACTAATGGCGTTCCTATTGTATGAAGATAAACGTAAGTTTCTGTGGTAGAATAATGGTATCGATCCATATAAAGTGTGTTCTCTATGTTTCTCGACATACAGAATATCTCATATTGTAATTCGACGTCATCTGCATCGAATGTTTTTGAATCAATTGAAGCGCATCTGCTTGTGATTATGTTTGACATCGAAGTATCACCTTGTCGCGTGTCAGAAACTGCGACTAACGCTTTCAATTTTTTCAATTCTGGTATTTCATGTAATTCAATCAAACATATACTTCTTAAAAATAGGATATTATACGAGAGGTCATCCAGAAAGCCTTATAAGAAGAAGTTCACGTCGACGTACAAAACCAAAAAAATATAATGACTATGATATGCCAGCTCGTCCCTGTAGTACATCGGCTTTATCTCCAAAACGAACTGCTTCGTCGTTAACCGTTAACCGTTACTTCATTATCTAATCGTTCATCTTCTGATAATTCTAAATCACAAGACACGACCTCCACCGACAAAGAAAATCAGAAAAGATAAAATTAAAGAATCAGCTGAGCAATGACCAAAATCGGAACGGAACATCCATCCGCAGCTTCTATTGAAAATGCCGTTTTTAACGGTACAAAATATTCTGTTATTAATACATTAGACTCAGCATTATTTGTTCTATAGATGAACCATCTCAAAAAGGACATACCCTAGTAAAAATCTTAGGCACTTCTTAACATTATCTTACTAAGATCTTATAAGATCTTATCCTTTAAGATTTTGATAAGATAATCTACGATCTTATCGTTTAAGATCTTAATAAGACTTAATGACTCTGCTTTCATTCACCCTTTTGTTTTGCTCTCATTCATCTATATAAGTGACCGAAAATATGAGTGATTATACGCGTATTTTTCTTCCTGACTCTGCTGGTACTTGCTCTCTCGAAAGTGTTCAACAACTTTTTAGAGTGTGCATGTCAAGGTCCATAGTTGGACACCTGAAAATATGAAATTTCTCTTCATTCTTCAACTTGGATGATGCGGATTAAAACTTGAAAAATTTTCAGTGAATCCCGAATGAACATTTATTCAAAAAACGTTATCGTTCTTACTATCAAGATCCTAATATATTCTTATTCAATCTTGAAAAAGTCTTAGACAGTAAACTTACAATCTTAGTAAGATCTTAGAATAATCTTATTAAGATCTTAGTAAAATTTCGTTTACATTGGTCTAAGATCTTAGAAAAATCTTATCAAATCTTAGAATTTTCGGGTCTCACGATCTTTGTAAGATTTGTTTAAGATCTTAGACAGATGTAAGCGAAATCTTACTAAGATCTTAACAAGATTTTTCTAAGATCTTAGTAAGATTTGAGCAAGTTTTTCACTAGAGTAGTTCAAACTGGGCTAGAAAAACTGTACATTTATTCGATTTGCTATAAATGGTCGAGCTATTTTCAGATAAACTATAGCATGGAGATTCTTTTTCTGCAACTAAAGGCGTATAGGAAAATGTAAACTTTCTTTTTCACTGATTTAACAGTACCGGCAAGAAGGTTCTTGTACTGTAGCCTCTGTACAGGAGATACTGAATTTTTAGTCAGTTTTTGCCTGTACAGGATAAATTTGTTCTCTCTTAACCTCCCTACAAAAAAATATTTTGTCGGCACTGGTTGTGCACGGGTGCGCACCGGTGCCGAATAATTCTTTTTTTGGGCACCGATGCGAATCGGTGCCAGAAAGAATGTAAAAATCTCGCACCGGTGAGCACCAGTGCCGAAGTTTTGTTTTCAACTACCATTTTGTTTTGTCAATTTCTGTCTATATTAACGCTACAGTCTACTTCTAATATTTCGAATGTCTTTCTCACTTCATCTTTTCCTTCTCATAAGAGAAGTGCCGAGGCAATGCCGCATGGTTTTGGCATGTCGGTGTGATACTGATCAGTGCCGCACTCTAATACAAAATTCAGCATAAACAACCATAATAAAGAATTAATTAAATTAATTAAATAAATTATCAGTGCGGCACCGATTTCTGCCAGTGCAGCATCCATGCGGCACTGACTTTTACCAGTGTGGCACTCTTTCGGCAGAAATATATCGGCACTGGTGCGCACGGGTGCCAGTCGGCACTGGTTCGGCACTTGCTGGGCACGGGTGCGCACTGGTGCCAGCCAGTGCCAGTGACCGATGGCATGCCATGCGCACCGGTGTGCCCTGGCAGTGCCGCACTGGAATTTTTTTTATAGGGCTTACAAACGATATAATTTATTGTCCTCGATGAGGACGATTCGTGCCAAAAAGTGTAGACAGTTGTTAGGCGCAATGCACCTTGCATTTAACACCGCACCATCTTCTCTTCGTCTTCGCGTGCATTCTCTTCTTCTTTTGAAACGTGCATAATGCCAGTCATGGACTATTGTTCTGTTGTTTATGATATTGCAAAAATGCATCTACATCCACTAGACTCTGTTCAAAAGGTGGCAGCCAGGATAATTTGTAATGGCTATGAAACGATCAGTTCATTATTACTGAACAAATTAAATTTTCCTGACTTAAGTGAACGACGAAAATATTTTCGTTTGTTACATTTTCATAAAATTATAATAGGAAACAGCGCTCTCTCAAGGTTTAACATGATCACACCTTTAACTGGCAGGACGTCGGATAGGCTGAATAATCGGTGCCAGTGGACCATCCCAAAACAAGCTTAGAAGCAACAAAACACTCTTTTCTTCTCCGCACATGTATCGAGTGGAACCTCTTGCCGCGATCCGTGACATCCCAGTTTGCCACAGGAGCATTTAGGCGAAGGCTTAGACTGTATTTAAATATGTAGTTCTTACAACGGTAATTAGAACATGTAATTCTCCGTTTCACGTGCAACATTCCCTTGGTTTCTGTTTTTTTTAATCTTTTCCTTACATAGGAGTTAACTTACATTCATTTAAGTTTCCCTTTTTTGTAACAGCCTAGACACATTCGTGTTCAAATAAAAAATCTATTGGTTGATTGATTGATTATGAGTTTGTAACCACGAATTAGAAGGCTGTAAAACTCGCTTATCAGCAAGCCGGAAATGGGAAAGATGAGGGTATTGTATTTTTTGCCTTGAACTTAACACACAGATTCAATCATTTTTTACTTTATTAAAATCAGTCGTTGCTTTCAAAAAAATATAAAAGAAAGAATTCCATATGTTCTCACTCAACTGTTATTATTCAATGTACTCATTCCGCTGTTATCTTTTTCCTTCCGAAAATAATATAAAAATATTTTTTCTCGTCGTTTGTAAGTATTCTTAACGGGTCACCATAGAAAAAACAGATCGTATATAACGAATACAAAGCAACTACTGCACCACAGAAGTGAAGTAAAATATTAAAATAACACAATAAATCAAACATAAATTTATACGTAAGTGAAATAACTAGTTGGTACTTACAAAAGCTCCTACAGGCGTAGCAAATATTTCGAGATTTATCAGCGCTGATAACGCACCTTGAAAAAGGGTATACTTTTAAGACCATACATGTCATTTTGTTTTCGAAAGTGAGGATAGATGCATGCGTGTTTAAAACTTGACAGGTCAAAATACTTTTCCTACTAATCAATACTCATATTACCACTTAACAGTGTTTTATTTATAACATTTTCATTGGAATTGAAGACACTACTTCGAGAACGGTAGCTTGCTATAGGTGGTGGTGTATCGAATATACTGTACTACTGCGATGACGTCGTTAAGTTGTTGTTGTTAATGGTAATAGAACGTTGTCCGGAGTTGTTACAGATGAACGGTGATTCGTCGCAGCAATACATCGATAAATGATTTTAGCGACACATGAATCAGTATTACCACAACCACTTTTATGAATTTCTTTTGAATTTTGACCTGATTCTTTTGCACGTTTGAATATCTTCAGCCATTTCTATATGATCAGTCAATGTTTTATCAGTTGCAAAAGACATTCTTCTTTTCTTGCTATCATTCACGAAATGATAGGAGGAGATACGTACATTGAGGATTAACATAGTAGATATCAAGCATTTGATGACACAAAATGTCTATAAGATCTAATGCTGTGCGCCTTATAGTCAAAAAATAAAACTGTTTTCTATTATAACAGGTATTATGGCTGGCTTATTCGATAAAGTTGCTGGGTTTGGAGCAGATGCTGCCATTGATTCGACAGCCGACGGATTCATCAACAAAGAATTGGAACAAGTCAGAAAAGATATACCCGATGGCCAAGGTTTTGTCGGTCAAGCAATGACAACAGAAGTTGATCAAGTGGCAAATAATTTTATTAATAATGAAGTTAAAAAGTTTATTTAAAAATCAATAGACGGTATTTTTCCTAGATTCCTGCAGAAATACATACTTTCTATCGTTATCCTATTTTCATTTAGGTTCACACTTCGATGCACAACCCTACAAAACAATCAAAAATTCTCCTGTAACTACTCTACAACATATAAATCCCATTAAACGGGAAACAATAAAACGATCTCCGACTTAAAAAATCTTGTTCCCATGAGAAAAAATAAATAAATTCAAAAAAATAGATAAGTTCATCTGACTCTGAACGATTCCAGAAATAGCCACAACAGTTAGACAGTAGATAATTTAAGCCGTTCGAAGGTACACTGTGTGAATAATCAAAAACGTTTTTCTCAACTTCTGATTGCTATCACAAGATCTTGGAACAAAACACCAGGAAGTCAAGATCTTGGATTCTTGAATTTGTCACTCAAGATCTTGGGAACAGAAATTTCAAGATCTTGAGTGAAAAATTTTTTCTTTACATTTTGTTTTTATTTATAATTCTTCTTATTATTACTTTTCGCCACAGCTGATGATGATTACAGATCGTAATCGAAAGCGTTGGGTTTTCGGTCTTTGGTCTCAAAATCAATGATTGTCGAGTGCATACGATTGCCATTTACAACAGTTATCAGAGAAGTGTATATTTTCTGTCTCTCCAAAGACAGAAACTGACGCAAGCGTATAAAAGGCTGAAAACTATGCGCTGTAACGGAATGTCAAGTCCAAAATTAAGTGACGCTGAGCCTCTGTTGGCTCAGCGTATGTAAAACATTTATATGATGAAGTCTTTGAATACCAGGTAGACTAACGGTTTTCTCAAAACTGGTCATTGAAGCTCGTTTTTCAGCTTTTCGATTTCGATCCTTCTTCTTTAGATCATTATATTTAGCTTGCTTCTGCTTCAATCGATTGCGATAATTTTTTATTCTTTCAGCCTCTGTCAATGCCATTTTAGTAAAAAAGGTCACAGATTCAAATCTAAGACTTCATAAGAGGCAGCAGAACAGAAAGTGCTTTGAAGAGGTTTGAGCATTATTTCATATCAGTAGAAGCTGATAGTATATAGAAACACAAAAAGGAATCGAAAACAAAATCCGTAAAAAGCAGCAATAAGACTCTGCAATCACCTTTGCGCATTGAAACACCTGCATTAAATATTATAATACAGGAGAAAAATGATGTTTCAACTTTTTTGTAGAAAAACTTAATCATTCGATAGTGATTCCGTTACACTTGTCCTGATGAAACTTGAACAACTATAAACATATCCGATTAGTCCACTGAAAAGAGCGCAAAAAACTGGATTTAGTGCACTAACTTATGAAATCCAAAATATTTTCATCTCACACACACTTTCGTTCACAAAAGCATTACCTTTACAAATGCTAATAACTTTGTCAATAAGCGACAAAAATAGTCATCTTACCATGGCTAGAGAGTCTACTCAAGGTAGTTTTCGATCATGTGATCAGTTTTGATAAAAACATATTTTTTTAAGCTGTAAAAATAAGAAAACAAAAAGCTATGACGCACATTTCTCTTTGCCGTTTTCGAGTGACATCTCTTTGAAAGTCTATTTTCTCCGAGGAATCATTGTATGTGCAGAGATAAAAGTCCCATTTTTATATGCTATCGACAATGATCTACAATATAGTTAGGTTTATTTTACTAACTGTGTACTTTAACTTCTTCAAAAAAATCTACCGTTGGACTGGCCGTTAGCTAACTCGAAGTGTTCTTTTTAATAATTGAAGTTGAAAGGATAAAGTACATCCCACTTTCCTTTGTTGTTGTACCTAACGAACGTGCCAGTGCTGATTAAGTTGATCTCATCCTATCCGTCTTGACATTCAATTTTTTATGCGAAAAGATCACTAAATATGCTTAGATGATAGCTTTCTTATGAAAGTATATATTTAATGACAAATGGCATATCTACTGTAGTAACTGTTGTTGCTCTTAGTTTTTTACTGGGATCTATTTATCTATTTGAGACAAAGACTAACATATGCAGCCAGTGGCGGCGCGACGAGGTTGGGAGCACGGGGGGAGAAAATCCTAAAATCGGAGAAAGGTCTCGAACTTTTTTCGTGATATATACACTTCGTAAAGACCTATAATTTAAAACAAAATAAAAATAAGCAGCTGATAAGCTGCTGGAATATAAACTGTGCTTTTTACTGCAGGTTATCGAGACTGTCATGTTTTTACATTTTTATTCTTTTTCGTGCAACTCTAAAGTCGGTGTTCACTCAGCCAAAACTGTTCAATACAATGATAAACAAATATTGTGGAAAAAAGTAAAAACAGGAAGAGTCTAGAAAATTAAAACAAATCTCCGTAATCGGAGAAAATGGAGACAAAACCTTCCTGGACATCGAAGAAAATAGAAATTTAATTTTTCTCCAAATCGGAGAAAATCGGGGAAAAAATTTTCAAAAAGCAGGGGGTTAAACCCCATTTTTGATACTTAGATCCAGAACCATCGATGACTTCTACTAGACAAATTTTGATGACTTGTACAATCGGGGAAGAGAAAGAATTTGCTTTTAAATTTCAGTAATATATATACATATATCAGTCATGATTGCAAAATAAAACAGTGAATGAATTTAAGAATGGCCTGTTAATAGCCATTTAACTGTGAGAGTTATTTTACATTTTAGGATGCACAGTTAAATGCCTGTTTTTTGTGTAAATGGCGTAATAGCAATGTAAATGGCAGACCGTTAACTGCCTTTTTTTTCTACACTTTGTGGTATGTTAAATGCCTTTTCACGAGCCTTATCAACAATCGCAGAACAGACAATAAACTGACTGTTACTTGGCAGCTTTGTAACAGTTATTTGGGTGTTAAGAGCCTTTTCTTTTTACATACATTTAAACGCATGACATGGCTTATTAAATGCCAGTTATGTTTCATCTGGGGATCACATGAAGAAAGAAGAAAATAGATGATAAATTGAATGACAAACATGACTACTGGACTGAGTGGAAGAAAATACCTTCCTTAAACGATTGCTTAGCTGTAAGAAAGCAACAGCTGTTGGATGCTAACCATCGATTAATAAATAAAAACTATGTATTTCTTTTAGTTTTTTCGGTTTGAAAGATTGTAGTGATGCTACCAGAACCGATAAATAGTGCACTTTGCTTAGTTTTCTGCTCTCTCTTAAATGAAACGTTGTTCAAAAAAATCCAACTAAAAATGTTGGCACAGTAAAAGAAATGGTAAACGTGTCGTGTTTTTCAACAACTTTATATTGGATCTTTCAAAATTCCATATCTCGATGAAAACAACATTCTGAAGCTTAAAATCAATTTGGGATATACCTAACTTTGTACGGACAATCGAATGGGGGTGGTGTGAAAAAAAATTAATTTGTTGTCATATGGTGGTCTTTAGATAAAAGTCTCGTTTTGCCCACGAAACGTCTCCTAAGTCTGTTACTACCTACATCATAAACACTGTGCAGTATACTTTTTAGATTATTAAATAACCGTTTTCCCTGTAAGGGGTATAGTGGACAATGAATTAGAAAGCGCTCTCCCAGGTCCATGAAAACAGTGTCGTAAACGGACCATTTTAGGCTGTCAAGGCCGTTTTTAAGTATAGCAAAATGACTTGTTGATAAAAACGGCCCGTATACGGTATACAACATAGACTGTGCCTGGTCATACCAGTGAATGACCCGTTTTAGACTATTAATTGACTCTCTCAAAACGACCTGTTTACAGTAGTGTTAGTAGACCGTTTGGCCGTTTTTACACTGTTAAAGCCTTTTTATAGCTGAATGTTAATTGGTCGTTAATCGTCCATTAACGGGAAGTCCTGGTTGAGCTGGGCTGTCATGACTGCACTACATGCACATAGATCTGTATTAGATAATTATTTACGGAAAAATCTGCATTTTGCTGAGAAAAAACTATCCTAATTGATAATGTAAAACACCGGCTTTGCGTGGGATGTTGTTTACACGAAAGACTGGAATGAGTGAACATAAGTCATTTACAAGTAACCGTTTAAATGTAGTAGTGGATTACCTGACACAATACTTTGTTCCATATAATAGTTTTATTGTTGACAACATGAAACTACCCTGAATATTTTGCGAAAATAGTTGGAATGTTACTCTTGCCTGCTACTAGTATTGAGATACTTTATATTCTAAGCAATACAACTCCTCTAAGTGGAACTTAGCCCTAGTCCAACATCTTGAAACCAAGATCTTGCCTAAGATCCTACGTTAAGATTTGGCACTAGATCTTGAAAAAATGGGTACAAGATCTCAGGACATTTTTGTACTCAAGATCTTACGCAAGACCTTGGGTACAGATATTTCTTGATATCTCGTACCCATGATCTTGAACATTTGAAAAATCATCATATTTCAAAACTAACTTTTTTTCATGCATTAGTGCATTAGTGTATACACAGTCAGCATGTCCTTCAGCAATGTAAATGTTATGTATGAACTCTACTAACTTCAAGTCCACTTTCGCGACGCGATTCTCTTTAAAAATCCACGGCAAGATCCCGTAACGCGTTCGCTGTAAGACTCGCGAAATAAAACGCGATTTTTAGCGATCGCTATTTTTCTGCGCTCACACAAAAGTCAATGGCTCTCAAATATTTTACTATAGTTACTATTTATTCGCGTTTTCCGTCTAATATCAGTGAATGAGTCACGCTACTTTTACCGCGACGAAGACGAATGGCGTACGGGCGATCCTAGTCGAGACTCCCGGCAAAACTCCCACGGGACTCCTGTCACGGGGTCCTGCGGAATCCTGCAGGAGTCAGATGAGACGTTCAAGGGATTTCTCAAGACTCCTGAGGACTCCCCTGGGGCTCCTGTAGAGAGGAGTCCAACGAAAGTCCTCAGAATCCTCAAAGTCCCATTGGAGTCCTGAGAAATCCCTTGAAGGTCCCATCTGACTCCCACAGGACCCCGTGACTGGGGTCCGGTGGGAGTTTTGCCGGGAGTCTCGACTAGGGGACGCGAGTACGCAGGACTATATTAATCATGTCGTAACCTTTTATTAAGATGTAATAAGATTTTGAAAATTTTTCGAAAAATCAGGAAGAGTTATATACCAGGCGCGCAAGGAAAACAAAACGATCAATAGGATTTGCACGGGAGACGCGCAGCGACGCTGTATCATGTCGCGATTGTAGGAGAAAAATGTGATCGCAACGTGACAATTTTTTATTAGTGATCGTGCTCGGATCTCGAAGTCGCTATTGTCGCTTCACGATTGCGAATTACAACTTTTTCAAAAAGTAAGACTTCATCGCCGTCGCGGAGTGAGGACCGCGTTCGCGGCGTGAAAGAAGCAAGAAAGTGGACTTGGGACGTCTGTGTTTTCGTATGCAGTACTATGATTTTGCAAAAACCTGACGGAAAGATCTTTAAAAATTAATTTTTTGTTAGAATGGAGGGTCTTTTTAAGATTTCTTCGCCCTAAAACAAATTCGTTTAGCGACATCTATCAACGTTGTAGAACAACTCTGCTTCTATTACTTAATTCTTTTCTCCACTTTATTGACTTCTCTTCTCTTCTACAACTCTGCTTTCTGTATAATGTAAATGTTGTACGTGATTAGTCTTCTTTTGATTGGTAGCTTCTTATAACACCATTCTCGGTTTGTCGCACACCGAGACAACTACGTATAGGCTAAGCAAAGACCAAGGGAATGTGAATGCAGTTTCTCTTCACCTGTCTCGCTATATTAGGATCGACTCTTCCATCTCTTGGTCTTTTACAGGGTTTACATATGAATGTAAAAACTGCAGCACAGACATGGCATTTCTCTCTCCCAAAATTTATAGCTTGATTATATTCGCACGGCTATTTCTAGAATTATGCGTTTAGATTAAAAGTTAATGAAAATGCCATTAGTTGATGCAGATTTCGATTTTTTTAATGTTGAAGAGCTAATGTCACAAGATTAGAGTCGTTCGCGACCATCTATTTGTGTCATAGATAATATTTTTAATTCTGTCGATGGAATAGCAGATCGTAAGCGGTTTTATATACTCAGAAAATATTTTAAATGCATCTTAAACTTCAGATAAGTTTGTGAACGTTTTACAAACTATTGATTTTATTTACTCAGTTGGGATGCAAAATTATTTACATAACCTTATTCAAGATTAAGAAGGAGAGCAGCACTACGATACTACAATGACATACGCAGCACTGGACCGTAGCATATCTCTTAGAAGATTTCTACCTGTAGCCTCTTTCAGAAGAGAAAAGGGTTTTTTTATGCATAAAAATATTTAGCTAGCTATTAATGAGCATGATTACATACATCTGTCATCTGGGACATAATATGCGCTTTTATCAATGTAAGAGAAAAACCAATAAGATTATGATTTTCCATCGCCCCTACTAAAAATAACTTAGTATTTAACTGAGTGATCAAATGAGAATAAAACACATACTCATGCAAGTCTTAGATCGATAGCCATTATTCTCTACTACTGTAAGGATATGTATACTTTTGTCCTGTACGGTACTTTCATTAATCCTATATGAGAGATGCCGCGATTTTTTTTATCGTATAATATAGTTTTTGAGACTTGAGTCTACGCAAATAACTTTTCCTTTCATTCATTCATGGATTCATACTTTTGGGTTTTGTTTTTAATTTCAGTTTTAATTACTTTTAGATAAACAATATATCGTACTTCTCTAATAATCTTCGTTTTATTTGTCATAGCCATGTTGTCTTTTACTAATAAATATAAGTACTCATCGAAAATTCTTCTATTATTATTTTTCTATTTTTGCTCAATTACGTTTATTCAATGTGTTGATCGTAGTAATTTCAAAACATGTGATCAAAGTTCATTTTGTCGGTATGTTATGTTTCTGTCGATTTGAGAAAATTATTTTTTGTCATAAAATTGCTTGTATGTTATTTTATTTTCTAGTCGTCAACGTAAATACAAACCTGATGTGTCACCGTATATTGTTGATTTATCATCTATGAAAACTGTCACCAATGGCCATTTACAATTTGTGATAACAAATACACAGAATAATGTAAAATTTCAGCTAGATTTATTTACATTAGAAGAGAATAGTTTAAGAATGAAAATTAATGAATTAGAACCAATTAGAAAACGTTATGAAGTACAAAATGTTATTGTTAATGAACCAAAATTAGTCAGGTACGACAACAACCATATCTTATATTTGTTCTAAGATCAATGGTAGAGGTCTGATCATTAAAACTACTTCAAATGGAATATTTGTTATTGTTGGAGATACCCATTAATCTTTCCTATATGGATAGATCATGGTAGGTGTGATTAAAAAAGGAATACGTCTTCAAGCATTAGCTTAAAATACGACCATGACTCTTGAAATCTTATAATCTTATTTCAGCATGCATCGATTAGTTTCGTCATATATTTCAAGCATTTCGACGTGTTTTCTCCTTCTAACTGTTTCCAATATATTCATATATTGATGATTATGAGAATTCAACATTGTGAACATTGAAAAAGCTAATATTTAATGGCCGTTATATAATACTTATTATCTCTTTTAGTATCTGAGTACGGTATAACTGAGTATAATAAGGTTTGTCAAATCCAAGAATGTAAGATGAAGTATCTAATATGTAATACATAATCTTTACACTTGTGAAATGAATATTGAAGGATGCGGGCTGTGAGATAAATTTTTCCTTCTAAAACTATTTTTAACTTTTCGACTCAGTAGGGACAAGTTTCGCTAAGTATTGATATAAGTAAAAAGTATTAGGAACTAAAAATCCTTAAAAGATATTTAAATAATTTATTTAACCTCGTATTTAAACACCTAATTTTTAAAAAAGACAAAATATATAGATAAAGATATTGCATTTCTGGTAAAATTCATTGCTTATATTGTATGACACCGTAGATGATAGGAGTGATAGCTACTTTATTTTAAATATTGTCTTCGGTAACAGTCGATTACTTAACACATCAGAATAGTTACAATTAATAATATTTGTTGAATTATTTATTTAATTTTTAAGTGTTACAACATCGAAGTTAGATGTAAATCAATTGGAAGGTCATTTTGGAAAAACATGTCGTTTTATATTAGTGTCAAATCCATTTCGATTAGATTTATTTACAAATGAGAATGTTTTTGTTGTGTCTGTAAACTCAAAACAATTGTTTAATTTTGAACATTATAGAAAAAAGCAAAGGTATGTAAGGTTTCTAATCATTACATGAAATTATATTACTCTCGTCTTATTTTCTAGTTCTGATGGTGAAACGCCATTAGTAAGTTCTAAAGAGAATTAGAGAAGAATTAATATATAATTTATTCTTGTCAATTTGTAGCATGATGAAGATGGAATGTGGGAGGAAACATATAAAACACATACAGATTCTAAACCACATGGTAGGTGTTTGTTTACAAAATTTCTTTTCATAATAGATGATAATTATTATACATTATTTAGGACCATCATCGATTGGTATTGATATAAATTTTGTTAATTTTGAAAATGTTTATGGTATACCAGAACACGCGGATTCATTTTCATTAAAATCAACACAGTAGACATATCTGGTTTATATAATCTCATATTAATTATACTTTTATTTTTCTCTGGTTTAGTGATACGGATCCATATCGTCTTTTTAATGTTGACGTATTCGAATATGATATACAAAATCCTATGGCACTCTATGGTAGTATACCATACATGTTAGCACATAAGTAAGATAACTACAATATGATAAGAATTCAATTTTCAAATATCTTTATATTATTTAGTGAACAAACTAGTGTTGGTTTTTTCTGGTTAAATGCTGCTGAAGGTTGGATTGATATAACTAACAACAAACTGAGTACTAAAGTAAGTATTATTATCTTAATAAAAGGATATAATTTTGCAAAATAGATCGATTAAACTCAAACTTTATAGTTGAGTAGTCTTCAAGCCGACACTTTTCCACTTGTTTTAATCTTATGTAATCGATTAAAAAGTGAAATAAGCGTATGTCATCAAAAACTGGAAGAAATGAGAAGAGGAATCAAATGCGTGTGTGTTTAATGCTGCATTATGTGTTTTAATAGAGAATCAAACAGATCTTGAAGATGTTTTTATATCAGTGATACAATTAACTACTAGCTTGTTGAGTGATGTCAGATGTTTATTTACCCAGTACACTTTGAAGTAGCAACATTTGTGTTTGTACAGTTTACTTGCAAATTGTGTGAGAAATGTTCGTCTCTCTGTTTGATATAATAAACATTGAAACATTATACCGTTTCTATTGTCTTGTCATCACAAGAAGAATGAGTTATGCAGTAATATAAATCAATACTAAAGAAAGAGAAATTAATTTGATATAACAATAATCCCTATTGTAAATTTTATGTAATTTGAGACTTGTACTTGATGTTAATAGACAAATTTTGAATTTGTTTACACTCCCACTCTCGTTGGAGCTATTTTTTAACTGTATTCTATTGTGTTACAGCACATGTGGTACAAAAAGACGCAGGTAAAGATGTGTTTTACCTCAGATAAAGTCATTAGACATGCATGTCAACAACAGATGCAATGTGCTATATATTTTGTTAGATTTGTATAGTTTTTCTCATTATAAAACAAAAGATTGTTTCTGAATCATACAGAAGAGTTGCTTTTTTTTTAAAACATAACGCTCAATTTTTAACATACAATCATTTTCTCTTTTTTTTCTACGTAAAATAAATATATTTTTGTTTTTTATTTAGAATTTATTTTCTACAATTAAAAATTTTTTTGGCACTACAAAAGTAGAAAATGAATTGCCCGAAATTACCACACATTGGATGTTTGAATCGGGAATATTTGATGGTTTCTTCTTTTTGGGACCGACACCAAGAGATGTATTCAGACAGTATGGACTAATTACAGGAACAACACCTTTGCCACCAGTAAGAAAGCTACATAATTTTGATATTATACGATCTAAACGTTTGTTTTATCTAGCTATGGGCAATTGCTTATCATCAATGTCGATGGAATTATAATGATGAAGATGATATTAAAAAGTATGTCCGCACAAGTAGGTCAATCTGTAGTTGACTAAAACAATTGTTTTAACTAATACACGATGTTAAATATGATTCGTGTTAACTATATTTTAATCTGAACCGTCTTTTTATTTTTTTGTTCAGTGTCAATGCTGGTTTTGAACATCATATGATACCGATGGATGTTCTTTGGTTGGATATTGAACACACAAATGGAAAACGTTATTTTACATGGGATACGGGTAAATTTCCCAATCCTGAAAAAATGCAACAAGACATCGCCCTCTATGGGAGAAAAATGGTTACGATTAGTGATCCACATATAAAAAAAGATGATAATTATCATATTTATGCAGATGCGAAATTAAAACAATATTTTGTTAAAAGTAAAGATGGTTCCGATTATGAAGGATGGTGTTGGCCCGGTAAATATCTAACTTTTATTGATGAATATCAAACTCTGTTAAAATAAACAAATAAATCAAATCTTTGTTTTTGTTTTAAGGTTCATCAATGTGGTTAGATTATTTTAATCCGGAAATATTTGATTGGTATGCAAGTCGTTATTCTTATCAACATTACAAAGGTTCAACATCGACTCTATTTCTATGGAATGATATGAATGAGCCGTCGGTGTTTAATGGACCAGAAGTAACATTTCCCAAAGATGTTGTTCATTATGGTGATTTAGAAAATCGCGATGTTCACAATATTTATGGAATGTTACAACATATGGCAACATTTAAAGGTCTTCTTGATCGATCTGAAGGACGCGAACGACCATTTATATTGACAAGAAGTTTTTTTGCTGGATCTCAAAGAACAGCTGCTGTATGGACGGGTGATAATGCGGCACAATGGAGTCATTTGAAAATGGTTGTACCAATGTTATTAAGTTTAAGTGTTACTGGTATTGGACTCGTGGGTGCGGATGTAGGCGGATTTTTTAAAAATCCAGATCCAAAATTAATAGTTAGGTGGTATCAGGTATGTAAGAGTGACAAAATGAAATTAATGCAAAAAATACAATATGTCTCCTTATTTTACCTACGCGATAGCTCCTATTTGGTTTCCTTTGATCAGAAAGTTATGAAAAACTCTCACTCATTTTTTTTCATTTTATTCTGTTTCTTCTCCATACGTATTCCCTCTCTTTTATTCGACTTCAAATATCACTCCGATCGTTTTGAAGATTTAGTGAAAAATGAAAAATAGCTGGAAAAACAAATGGGAGAGTAAAAGTTTCGAATTTTCAATGTCAAAGTCCAAAAGATTGAAAGAAAATATAAACGAGAATAAATGAATCGATGGAATTCTTTTTAAATTTAATTAAAGTTAGTGTAAGTTATAAAAGGAAGCACTCATACGTATTTTTATCAGAGAATAGGAATGCTCAGATCAGAGAAAAACAACATTGTTCGGGGAGAAATGCAGAAAAAGTAAATTTAAGGTCAGTTCTTATTTGTCTGATTTCCCATTTAAGAAAAATTTTGTATCGAAGATACGCCATAGAAAGCTAAAAAGATCTGACTTGTAGAATGGTTTTTGTAGTTCGTCTTGTGAAATATTATTAACGAATATAAACAAAATGTTAAATTGATCCAGCATCAGAGAAGAAGAGGACGTTTCATCAATATTCTTACTTCCAGGAACTTCGTGTGTTTTATTGTACCGTTTTACAGCATTGAGACAACTCGAACTTAAGAGCACATTCTATGATGTTGAGACAAACTAAGATTTAAGTCGACGACTCTTAAATGCTTATTTAAGTTAAAAGTTACTCAGAAATTTTGATGAAACAATCTTCGGTAACACGGTGATCGTTTCATTTCATGAAAATATAAGAAAGATGTATTGGTATGATCTGATGTCCTTATTCAGTTACAGAGAAAGAATTGCTGTATAGTCTAACTGTTCACGTGTGTAAACTATATACTCAAAAAACAAGTCGTACAGTATCTCGAAAGGTAATACATCATACTGTTTATGAACGAACTATTTCATTTGTAAATTATGATGAGAAAATAGCTTTTTATTCGTCTATCTAACAATGAGGAGAGTAGAAAATATTTTGTTTTATTGATGAGGCATATATTCTGGAAACGTGACAGAATGCGTAGATATGTTTTACACCATATTACATGTACGAGAAAGTCTGTGGTGTTCGATAAATTTTTTTATAGAACGAAATTATAGAAAAAAAATGATTTATTCCTTTCTTGATGAGAATGCGAGATAATTTAACAGAAAAGATAAAATAGCACTCAAAAAAGAATACTTCTTAAAAATACATTAAAACGTAATTCTCGAGCAAAATACACCATTGTACTTCTCAAATAGAGGAATTAGAATCTAATATTTTCTTTGTCTAATTGTATTTTACACAAAGATTATTTTTGTACTTTTTTTAAGGCCGCTTCGTTTCAACCATTTTTTCGTGAACATGCTCACATCGATACGGCTCGTCGTGAACCATGGTTATTTGGTGATGATAATACACGTCTTATTCGTCAGGCAATTGAAACTCGCTATACCTATTTACCATATTGGTATACCCTATTTTATAAACAAGAAAAACAAGCACTACCACCTATGTTACCATTATGGGCCGTATTTCCTCATGATACACAAACATTCAAAAAAGACGATTCATTCATGATTGGTATACATATAAAATATGCTCACTTTAGACTATTGTCATATTTATCTTTATATTTATTCTAGGAAATAGTCTTCTTGTCTATCCAATCACCGATGCTGATGTGACAGAAGTATCGATATATTTTCCAGGCAATAACACTGTAAGTTTTCTTATATTAATTTGAAAAATATCATGACAACTTTTGAATATATTTATTTAGATTTGGTATGATATTAGAACATTTATACCATATAATGGTTCTGAAACATTATTAATTACAGTTGATATGGAATCGGTAGGTGAAGTTATGACGAAAATATATTCTTGTTGGTAAAATATTGACGTGTCATCAAATGATCATGTACTACTAATCTGTTTCAGTCAATACTCTTCAAAAAGATTATTATAGGATTATCGCAAAAATCAACATGGAGCTATCTATTCTAATCGGACAGATAGATGCTCTATAAATCTTCTCACTACATGACATAATTGTACCATTGAGATATATTCTATTTATTTTCTCTCTAGATTCCCGTCTATCAACGTGGTGGCAGTATAATACCTCAACGTTTAAGAAAACGACGTTCATCAATGTTAGCAATAAATGATCCAATAACATTAATAGTTACTCTAGATAAAAATGTACGTAATTCATATTCTTCGATATTTTTCTTATCTAATTGTATACGCTATATTTGTTAGAATGAAGCCAGAGGTGAATTATATATGGATGATGGACATACATATGATTATAAGAAGAAACGACAGTTTATTTATAGACGATTTTTATTCAAAAATAATGAACTAACGTCGAGGTATATAAGACTGATAGAAATTTGAATAGAAGATGGAGTTTTTAATCTTGTCTTGATTGATGGGAAATAACTTCATGCTGTCACCCTGTTTAATGTGTGGCTAAGAGAGAAATGAGGTCATATATGATTAATTTATGCGTTTCAATTAATTGTTTAGCTCGTTAAATCCAAATGGTAAATTCGATACAACTGCATGGATTGAAAGAATTGTTATCATGGGCTATCCCAGAAATCCAAACAAAGTATCAATTAATTCCGGTAAGAAGAAAACAAAATTTAATTCGTTTTAATGTGTACAGAGTACCGTCACTTTCTGATAGAGTATAATCAAACATCAGCACTCAGTTTACTTTGTCTCATTTTTTGCTCCATCCTTAATTACTGATTATTGACAGTAGTCGACGATCGTTAAGTTCTATCATTTTCTATGTTTAGGTGAACAAACAGCCATCCCTTTACATAGTTATCATGATAAACAAAAAGTTGTTATTATTCGACGTCCGGGACCCTCTATTTCAACCGATTGGACACTAACAATTTCCTAAAATTTTAAATAAAACGTTTTTTCTTATCAGAGCCTTATTATTATTACCATGACAACATAAAATCTCGTTTCTTACACATTCCTATACAATCTTTTGTTTTTTATCATTTTTTATTTGGAGTGCGTGTTTTCCTTGTTCTTTCGTTCACGGTGATATCTACAAAAAAATTTTAAAAAAAATCTACAAAAAACTGCACTTTGCATTTTTGGTCTTCACGTGCCAATTCTGTTGTTGCTGCTGCTACTGTTATTATTGTTATTGTTACATTCTCGTAAAAGTTTGTTTTTTGTGCATTTTTTGCTTTTTCTGTTTTTCTTGTTTTTTTACTGTTATTGTGTATGTGTGTTTTATTTTTTTTATATAGATTCTCTGCTAAAAAATAAATTTTCAGTAAATAAAAGAGAATTTAACAGGTTAAAAATATTTGACGCTTTCGTTTAAACGTTTAGGTTTTTTTCTCTGATACAGAACTCTGAGAAATAATGGTTAACTATTTGTTCGTTGCACTTTGAAAAAGGAAATAACGACCATTCTGAAGAAGAAGAGTTTGTTTTGAATAGGAAATGATAATTGAACTAAGCTTTATCATTTATAAAACTTTATGACAGAACTACGCATGTAGCAAAAATTTTGATAATCTTCCATGCCTGCACTGTTTTTACATAGTCATTTGTTCTTGTTAATATGTCAGAAGCACTCACTTTTGCTCAGCTAAATTTTATTGAGTTTATCCACATTGGAAAGGTGGCACTTATGGAAAGATAAAAATCATTAATATACTGCAACTACTTTAAAATAGTTAGAACAATTGTTACTGTGTGTGTCATATGTTAGTACTTCTCAAAGATGAATGAGTTTTTAGCATATGTACATTTTGGAAACAAAATAACTCATCATTTGACTTTGATCACTAACGCTAAGATTTCAGGGTATTATGATGAGTGGATAAAGATATTTCTAAATGATCAAATATTGTCAGTAATATAGCTGAAGAACATTTTTCTTATTCTTTATATCACTGGCAAAATTATTATAAAACAATATGTGAAATTTTATTGAGGCATAAAAATGAACGGTTAACTGGACTATTTAGTGTACCTTTTGGATATTTGTTCATTGTTTAATATCACTGTGTGAAAGCATTACACAGTCAGTTGTTTGATCGTCAAATGAATAGATACAATGTAATGGTGACAAGAAAGATTTTAAACAACTAGGACAGCAATAATCACAACTATATTCTTATTTCTCGATAAATTATAATCGATAATTGTTCGAGACAGAAAACCAAGCAAATATTCAAAAAATCATTGATGTATTTAAAAGGTTCTATCCGATATTCGGTTTCGATCAACATCAAGTTGAGTGAGAGGCGAAGCACTAGCAGAAAACACTGGGAGTGAACTTCACTCTCAGTGCTTCTGCTAGTGCTTCGCCTCCTCTCTTAGATATTTGGTTCCATCTAAGATCAAGCTGAATAAGAGTTCTGTTTACTTTCAGTGCTTCTCCTAGTGCCTCAGCTCCTCTATCGGATATTTGGTTCCGTCCAAGATTAAGTTTAGTGAGAGTGTTGTTCACTTTCAGTGCTTCTGCTACTGCTTCAGATCCTCTGTCGGATATTTGCAGAGATGGGCAAGTCCGGTACTTTTCCGGTCCCAGTCCATGACGAGTTAAAATTTTCCAGTCCCAGTCCACTATGCAGTTAAAATGTTTCAGTCCCAGTCCGTGACGAGTTAAAATTTTCCAGTCCCAGTCCAGTCCTAGTCCGCTAAGCTTTAAGTCCGATGTCGGCCACAGCATACATTGTTTTCCACTTCCATTTTTTTTTATCAGAGAGTGACTGTTTCTTTACATGACCAGAAAAAGATAACAACAAAATTGTTTTGAATGTTAAAAAACAAAAAAAGACAAGACTTTTTGTTTCTTTTTTTTTACGAGAAAATGAAAAGAAAAGCCTAATTCATAAGAGAAAAGTTACGTTTGAGTAAAGTAAGACATGAGAGGGTTTTTCTCGTCATTCTTGCCCGATGTGGCCGTATAAGAAAATCGGATTGAGAGAACACTCTTTCAACCGGAGCTGAAGTGCTGGGCACACATAGTATCTTTGTTGCTAGTGTGCTCAACGTCGGATACAGTGAAGATTTCTTGAAAATTAAACTACTATCTGTACCTTCTTCTTTCAAATAAAGTAAAATTTCCTCAGCAATATCATTGCTTGATATTGCTATAGACATTTTTTGTTTTTTTTCATTACTTTCCATATAACCAAAAATAGATTTTCTTTTCAAGTTGCCAGTAGCACCACTAGTATTCGTTGAAGCTTCATTCTGCTGACTACTTTATTTTTCTGAACACTAGCTTTCGAATGTAGTGATAAAGCTGCATCTGAAACAAGTTTTTTGACGTTTTCACAAATTGATATTTTATTTTCAGTTGAAAGTGGTGAAGCTAAAACCCAATTCAGTGTAAACTTGCTATCTAAAAATGAACTGATTAAAAAAATATTATCTTTGTAAAGTTCATAAAATCTTTTGTTCTTTTTCACCGACTTTTCAAGTGGAATAGAAAGAACCTCTAATAATGCACCGAAACGAGATTTTACTGAAATGAGTAAAGCTTCGACTAGTGATGAGAGATGCTGGCAATCTTCTTTCTGTTTTACAAGATCAAAATAAATTGAAAGAAGAGAAGTACAGTGGCTTCAGAAAAAAACGCTAACACATCTGCAAATTCATTTAAAATTGAAATGTCCTTACCAGACAAACACAAATCCGGTTTATATAAGTCTTTCAAAATTTGATTCAGACTTTCTGTAGGCATACTAACAATTTTACATAGAGTGTCATACTGACTGTTCCATCGAGTCTTATTTGGAGAAGGTATCGAGACATTAATACGTTCGAGACGTTCCGCGAAATGTGTAGATTGATGACTAAGTTTAGTGATAGCTGAACATTTTTCTAATGCATTTTTTGCGGAAACTCCGGTCTTTTTAAGTCCGTCTTTACCAAATAACTGTAAAGTATGTGAGAAGCATGGTATTCGAAAAACGTCGGGTGATTCAAAGTAGATTTCATCAGTTTCGTCTGAGTCGTCGTCGGATGAGGCTTCAACGTCAGAGCCTGAGTCGTTTTCGAAGTCATTTGCAGTATCATCGTCAACGTCATCGGGCACAAAATATGATTCAAACCCTGGAACAACAAAACCTCGAAATGGTGTTAAGTTATTACTGGCACTATCAGTGACAAGACGAACTAGTTTTGAATCTAATGAAAACGTCGAGATAACAGCATTCAGTTCAGATAACAATAGAGGGCCGTTATGAATTCCATTTAATTCTTTGAATGCTAACACGAAAGATTTGAAATTTTCGCTGATAATAGTGTGACCGGTGGCAGCGAAATAAGATCTTTTACGTCGATCTGTCCATGTATCTAACGTGAGCGATACCCAGCGAGCTTCATTACAAATCGATTTTAGATTTAAAATCATTTTATCATATAATTCAGGCATATACTGACGAGAAATAGATCTTCTGCTGACCACGGAATATTTCGGATCGACTTTTTTTATAAAACGAATAACTGAATCTCTTTCTCCCATAGACAGAGGCAGACCCAAATCAATTACGAGATCTTGAACGATAGCTTGATCTAACTGAATTTGACGAGGATGAGACTGACCGTAGACAGGTTTTCTACCAGCTGGATGTAGAAAAATAAGCACGTAAAGAAACAGAAAAATATGGATTTTTCTCGCCTAGTCGAGTAAAATCCCTATGTACGTGTCGGAGAACTTCGATAGAAATCTTAATACCGTATGACTGAAAGCAGGCATCAATAAGCCAGCTTACAGAGCAATTAAATGAAAACACATTCTCAGTTTTTCCTTGAACGTTTTCTATCTTGTTTTGAATAATTTTTCAAAAATGCTTTCTAATGTTCGAGATTAGGACGAAGGAAATAATACCGGCGCAAAATTGAGCCCGGAGTCAGACCCTTAGTCACCTTAAGCCCAAAGAACTATAAATTTGTACTTACTTATTTTATCATCAATTTTAGATCGAGATGATTCAACTTTAACTTGAACAGAAGCTAACCAGTCATTATAAATCTTTAAATGATTTCTTAGCATATGCCGTTTGAAATTTGAATACCCAGTTTTTTTATCAGAAATCGATTTTTCTGGAAGTGACGGATCATTTCGACAAACCATGCGTACTGCACTCCACGTATCGTTTCCGTGATCATGTTTCCGATCAACAAAAAACTTTTCAAATACTTTTTTATTTGATGTTAAATTATCCTTATTAGAAGCCATTATGTCTTAACGTAACTTTGAGAAAATTAGAATGTGCAGTGCAGAAAGGCAGACAAGCATTTAGTGAATGGTTTCTTTGCGTTGTTTGATTGGTAACCAATCAATCAACGGAAAAAAAGAATCGCCTTTTGATTGTAAGTAACTCTGATCAAAAGTTCTGATCAGAGCTAATGTTAACCGACTACGCGGTAACACGAAAAAGATAAAAGACTGAATTCGATTTCTTTATTCTTTTCATCTTTTTTGAAATTTAAACTCAAAGGTCCAGTCACAAATGTCAAAAAAATCTAGCAGAAAAACGTCCACGCCTCTTATGTCTCCAGTCCCAGTCCAGTCCAAGTCTGTTACGCTTCCAGTCCCAGTCCAGTCCCAGTCCGGATGCAAAAGTCTCCCAGTCCGGACTTGGACTTGCCCATCTCTGGATATTTGGTTCTTAAATAGATCAAGTTGAGTAAGAGTGTTGTTTACTTTTACTGCTTCTGTTAAGGCTTCACCTCCTCTATCGGATATTTGGTTCCCATAGAGATCAAGTTTAGTGAGAGTGTTTTTTACTTTCGACGCATTTACAACGATGGCAGTGGCTAGTTCAGAAGCGTTATGAACCGTCCTGTCATTGTAATCGCTGATTTTCATACGCAGCCTTAGTAATGATAGTTGTATCATACAAGACAATGGTGGCACCAGCACTTTGATCATTTGTTCTGGTTTGAAGTCGAGGAGCGATAAGGAGCGAAGATTCACCAATGTGTTCTTGGAAGAGTGGGTGAAGAACAAGTCAAAGTAATCGAAGGACTGTGTAGACAGACACAGAGAACGAACTTGTGCCGTCGATGGAAAGTGTTCGCAGATAAAGTCACATTTGGATTTGCTGATGCTTTGAAAGTTCAGATCAAACTGTAGACTGCCGAGTAGTCGATCGAGGCCATCGTTTAATCGAAGGAATGAGTGGAGAATATCATTAGCGTGCAAATGCTCGAAGATTTCTACCATAACTTTGTTCGGAAGTGATTGAAACTGTGTCATATCTAAACAAATGCGCATTGTCAAGAGTTCGGATCCTTGTTCTCTTTTATATGAAGATAGCCTCTGAAGCATAAGGAAGGAGAATCGTTAGGTGTATACTCACTCTCGAATATGACTACCCACTGAAAAAAATAATCAAAATTCATGCAGGATCCCGCGGGTTATCGGTATTAAAATATCTGGCGATGTTTCTTACCTTTACGCAGGATTTTTATACTGCCAGTCCTGACAGAACCCTGCATAGTTTATGTAGGGTCAGCATGGAAAAAATCCTGCGTAAAGGTAAGAAACACTATTCAATCCACAAGTTTTTTCCTACGAGATCTGGCAGAATTTTGTTGGTTGAACGAAAAAGGATTTTGTTCTCCATGTCTATCCTGCGGTATCCAGCAATCTTTTCTCACCAATGTCTGTCAGGATGACCGTGGAGGAAGTTGTCTGTATTTTATTTTGTTTGGAAAGTTAAGTACTTTTTTCTTGTAAAGTTATAAAAAATTTTCTCGTGTTCAATAAACTTCTAGAAAACGTATACCTTAATATTTTGACTTTAACACGCATTTTCATGTGTACAAAACCAAACTATTAATAGATAGCTGAAAAGATCTTTTTTATGTCAGGAATATTCTATTTTTTTCACGTAAATGGTGACCATAAACTGGTAATAATAATGGTGACCATAAATTGGTTCGAAATATGACGTTGGTTTTGCAAAACAATACATGGTTGACGGCGAAAACTGCAAAACTGCAAAATACGTTAATTAAGTACTGTAAATCCTTGAAACTCGTACGTTTTCTTTCGTTTTTCGCAGCAGAATTGTATGAATACCAACTGATTTAGTGTCAGATGGTATCCGATTAATCTAGGAACGTAATCCTCGCAGGTCAAAGAATCTTATTGTAAGATCTTATAAGATTCTGTAAGAAACATAGAAACTGATTCTGGATGTAAGATCCTATAGTAAGATTTCATCAGATTTCGTAAGAGTCTTGCATGATTTTTACAAGATTTTATAAGCTACATCCGTCTATGATTTTCCGTAAGATTTTATAAGATATTGTAAGATTTTGATTTGATTGTTTGATCTGGGCTACCGTATGAAATTATGTTCCACAGCGAATAAATGCAGATTCCACGGACTTTAGGAGCTGAATAGTATGAAACATCCATAGACTGTACTCATCATGTGGGTAAGCCTAATAAACGACCAGAAAAAGTTTCAAGCGAAGGGCTTCGTATGCATGTGGTGCTTGTTTTGCTTAATCATGTAAAGAAAAATAGAATGCGGCCGAATCCAAAGAATTCATTCACCTTATCCGGAGTTTTAGTACAAAGTATTAGAACAAGATCCTCGTATTCAGCAAAAGAAAATGATAGGATTTACAACTGTTTTGCTTCGCTTAATCTTTTTCAACTGATAGCTGAAGAAACACGTGTATTCTCGAACACTTGTTTAAATTTAATCGGGATTCTCGGGACCTGAAGAGGAGTTGAGAAAGAAGAAAGAAAGAGGCCTTGTAATTCAAGCACACAAAATTTGTTGGCACGCGGGGACAGATGTCACATATATATTCATAAAAGGAAACTACGATATTGTACCCAGGAGAATGAAAGATTTAAAACATTCGCAATGGGTGAGGTCGTTCTTTCGAGACAATTGGTATTGATTGCATTGGGCCACTGCCAAAAACAGACAAAGGGCACCGTAATATAATACTAGCAACTGACTGTGCCACCCGGTGGACGGAAGGAAAGGCATTAAAAAAGAAAAGTGTGAAGGAAGTCGCAGAGTTTATTATGAGTAATATTTGCATGAGACATGTGCCACCCAAAAGCATTCGATGCGATCCGGGGACCGAGTTTGCGAATAGTATGCTAAAAGGATTGGCAGATTACTGGAATATTCGACTAAAATATAGTACGCCTTATAATCCTCAAAGTAACGGGAAGGCAGCAACAACCAACCAAACCGTGATTAGGAAGTTAGCTCGGATGATGGCGGGATCGAATTATGTATGGGATGAGATGCTAGAAATGACGTTGTTTGCTACAGGATCGCCCGAATAAGTCGAATGGGCAAATCACCATTTGAACTTTTATACGGCAGAAAACCGTATGTGGTAGGGGGTAAAAAGGTTTTAATGGATGCCGCAAAAGAAATTGCGAGTGGAAATGGGACCTGGGAAGACATCAGAAGGGGGAAGTTTGAGGCAATGCTAAAGGATTTGTAATCGTAATAATAAAAGGATTAACAGTGAACTCTATTAACAGTAGAAATACTAACAATGCATTATATTAACACTACATTATAAATGTATTCTACTAACAGTACTATTTACCATCACTTTTTAATTAACCCAATCTCCACAATTTATACACTTTACATTAATACCCATCCTTCTCAAAATCCCCATTCAAAATAACATCCAACATAGGTAAGCATTTCGGATAAGTCAAATAATCACGATAAGGCCTCCTTTTAAAATAGCAGAAATGGTCTAAATAAGAAATAAATGAAGAATCATTAAAATAGCCTTTTGAGACTAAAAAGTTACGATATTGTGGATTTATAAGGGGTTGAAGATCTTCTTGAAAATCTTCTTCGAATATTGATTTATGATTCATTTTGGGGATATCAAAGACGAAGAAATGAAAAAAATAAAAAATAAGATAAATAGACGATGAGATAAATAAAGAAAAAGAAACAAGAAGAAAAAAATAAACGATAGGTAAATAAACTCGGAAAAAAATAAAAAAAAATAAGAAGAAAAAAGAAACTATGGAATAAATAGACGATGAGATAAAAATTAATAAAGAAAAGATAACTAATTAAAGAAAAAGAAACGACAGTGACGTGAAGTAAGTATTTAGAGATAGATTAGCAAATATGATCAATATCGAATTAGGATATTCGGCTAGAGGTTGTTTGCACCAAAAGTGCTATTTGCGCCAAAATATCAATTAAAAGCAAATTTAAACAATAATACAGAGAAAATTAATATAGTATACATGAAAACTTCTGTTAGACATAAGTTAATATTGTAGACATGTGTAACGTTATATCTGGAGTGTCTGGCTTGTTAGCAGAAAATAGCCGGCTATTTGATCAAAGTGATCAGTTTCCTAAATAAGACTTTATGAAAACCAAAATTAACATTAAGAATAACCTACGGTTAAAGGTCATTTAGATGGTTATTTCTTCTTATTCACCTACGATCTTGATATTTTAATTCTTGGAAATGTTAAGCACCATCGAATTTAATGAACGAAGATAAAACTCTCTCCTTCCCCTCTATTGAGGGGCGGAGAGAGTTCTTTATCAAATATTCTAAGATTATTTGAGCTATAAGGATGGATTTTAGGAACAAAAGGTTAAATGCTGAATTGTCCTGCTCCGATTTTATTTGAAACCTAGTTTTTTACTTATTATTCATAGATTTAAGTCTGTTTGCCATATAGAATGTTTTTAATCATTTTGTCTAGTCTTATCGTAATTTCCTTTAATAAGTCTCGATTAGGAAATTGATAATTTTGAGTAAATAGTCGGCTATTTTCTGTTAACAAGCCAGACCCCCTCCAAGTATATCATTACCAAATATTTTATTGTAGAAAGTATTAACCGGACACCTTATAAAAATCAAACTAAAAAGTAAATACAATACTTTGCTTTGTGAAGTAAATAATCTTTTTAAAGTTAGTAAAACTCCCTCATAATAGAAGACCCTCCCATATTTGAAGACCCTCCTATAATAGAAGACCCTTCTACGGGAACGATGTGAAATTCACAATAGAAGACCCGGGTCTTGTAATGAATCGTTTGGAATCTTTTTAACTTTTTTTAGATTTACAGCAGTCATATATTAAATTTAAATTTATTTAATAAAAAAAGATTTGACGTTTCAACTCGTCATAGAGTTATTTTCAGAAAGAAGTTCATTTTTTCAAAAACATTTCAGTTTTTCTCTGTATTTACTTTCTATTTGAAATATAATCATAGTGAACTTACTTAATCGTATCTTTATAAAATGTAGTAACGATATTCGACTCTTTATGCACAGAAATTCGAATTAGAAGACCCCTCGTAAAGGAAGATTCTCTAAAAAATTTATACGCTAGAACATAATAGAAGACCATGGGCCTTTTATTATGAGGGGGGAGGGGTAGCGCACTTCTTTAAAATAGTCTAAGGCGCTATTTTTTTAACCGGCTTTGTATCACAACTCATTCTATTATAAGTAATATTTCTGACGGGTGGACATATATTTAATGACAGTTATAAATCGTACCAATTTGGAATAATTGTTATTACGAGAGTGTTACTTGTAATATGAAATAAGAATGCATCATACTTCGTACTTCTATATTATGTCACAAGTTTGAGAATAGTTGGCAGAGTTAACTTACTATTCTTGATTTAGTAAGAAATATTCGCATTTTTATTTATAATAAGCCACAGTAAATGAGAATAGTTTAAAATAAGTCAGAATAAGTCCCAATATTTACAAATTTGTAAATAAGCAAAGTCTGCTTTATTTATTTATTTTTTAGCCCTGTATGAATACTCTCATTATCGAACATCTGCCTTTTATTGACACTTTTACTGCCATTTTTTTCCTATCAGTCGTATTTATCACCGTTATATCACAAATATTCATTCCGCAAATACTCGACCA